GTAATATAACCCCGGGACACCTGGGTGGCTCAGTTGGTTGAGCATCTGACCTTGGCTCAGGTCATGATCTCACAGCTTGTGGGTTCGAGCCCCGCGTCGGGCTCTGTGCTGACAGCTCTGAGCCTGGAGCCTGCTTCGGATTCTGTGTCTCCATCTCTCTCTGTGCCTCCCCTGCTCATGCTGTGTCTCTCTGTCTCTCTCAAAAATAAACATTAAAAAAGTAATATAATCCCTGAAGCATGACCGAAATACATACAGAAAAGAAACTGTAACCCCATCTCACTAATAAATATGATACATAATTCATTTTTTCTAATCCAGCAATGTATCAAAAGGATACTATATACCATGACCTAGTAGGACGTATTCCAGAAATCTAAGAGCCATTCAACATCAGAAGAGCCAGTAGCATAATTCATTACATTACTATGATCTTTCCCCAATTCAAGCTATCCTGTCAGTAGCTGCCAAAAAAACCTTGCAGTAAAATTCGATATCCATTCCTAACAGTGGCCCCTTTGTAAGCTCACAATTGAAGGAAACCCCTTCAACATGCTAAAGCAAGTGACCACAAGTACCTAGTAAATCATAAGAGACGTGTTGGAATCAGAAAATTACGTTCCAACGGTCTGCTGTATACACATGGCACAATGTACATGTCAGTGGAGTTCCAAACCGCATTTTCAGTATGATTGTGTTTTGGTAAGAAAAATACATATGCACGCATGTGTAAGAGACAATGAGTGGGGACCCTGCCAAATCATAGTGATTATCTTTGGGGAGAGGATTCAGATGACTCATTATGTTTATCCATATTTCCCCCACTAATTGTGTTATTTCATGACAAATTTTTAAAATTCCACCAAAAACATTCTTACTTGAATAAGAGGCTGCAGAGATGCATTCCAGGTGAAAGGTGCCTGTTACAGGGGTACCAAACAGAAGGGCATGCCTCTAGGGGGCACCAACTGCCAAATATTTGGAGCTTCGAACCAGAAAGCTGTACTCAAGTTGGAAATAGCTGAACCCATCACTCGGTTCTTTTTCCTATGCCCCAGGGACCTTTCGAATGCTTCTGTGACGTGGATGTGTTGTCTTTTCTAATGAGGACTTGTGGTTACAGTCCCGTGTGTCTGCTTTTGACAATGACTTTTCTGGTTCTTTGGCCGCTGATTCGTTGTCAGCTTCTTGTTTACTTTCTGAATAAGCCTCTTAATGACACAATTTTGTTCATTTACAGAATGCAACTGCCCTGCCAGGTACGTGGCGAAGAACAGACGTGCACTTAGAAAACCCAGAATACCACACCAGATGGTATTTCAAGTATTTTTTAGGACAAGGTAACTATGCCATCATGGTGGTTGGGAAGAAAGGATATTCAAAATGAAAAATAGTGTCAGTGTAATTTATTCTGGTGCCCTAAAAGTATGAAACTAACCAGTTTAGGGACACTGATGTCAGGCTAGTAGTAAGCTTTTGTGTGTGTGTGTGTGTGTATGTGTGTGTGTGTAGATTTGAAGATTCAATTCCAATCTCAGCCCTAGGGTTATTTATATATAAACATATATTTTCATCCCTTGGGAGTTAAAGGGAGTTAGATAATTCTAAATGGCAATTTGAATTTGCAGGGTGGACAACAACTTTAGACCTAACCAAGGTGCGTGCCAAGTACTATCCTATATACCAAGTGCTGTAAACAGGTCAATATAGAACTGGAGAGGCATTGTCCTGTAGGCTCTGGTAACAGGTATTTATTTATCACCTACCATATTCCAGGCAATTATACTGGCCAAGGCAGTCATCATCCCTACCCTCATGGAGACTCTAAAATGGGTCTGAGTCCTGGTTCTGCCATTCTTAACCGCAGGACCTGACACTGGTCACTCTCCATGTCTCCGAGATTTAATTTCCTTCTGTGCAAAGTGGAGGGATTACTAATACATACCTAGTAGGTTAGAACAGGAGTTTCAGTGAGATACGCTGGAGAAACGCTAAGCCCTGCTCCTGGCACACAGCAAGAGCTCAGTCATTAATAGCGTTGTATATTTAAAGTGAAGGGCTCAAGTGAACATACATGGGAAGGCAGAAAATGGAAATGGAAGAATAATCACTGTTGCAGGATTAGAGAGGAGCCAGATAAACTGCTTATCAGGCTAATGCATGTGTTTCTAGAAGATGTGATGCTTGGACTATAAAATGAGAGTGATCAGGTGCAAAGGATGTCTTTTTAAAAGTCTGATACTGTTTTATTCTAAGAAGTTTGCTTGCTGTAGACAAGGCACATTTCTTTATAAAGAAAGAAGTCAGTGGGAAAGTTGTCACCTTCCCAAATGCTTGAAAGCATAGTGCCCAGAGCAGTGGGGACTTTAGAGAAAACCGGTGCCATCAGTTCAGATGCCAAGAAACTCAGAGGTAAGGCAGGCTCCAGAGTTGGTGGATTCAGAGGCTCAGTGGTGTCATCGAGGCCGGCCCTCCTCAGGGTCGCAAGGTGGTTGCAGCAATTCCAGGCATCACCTCTAGACACCACCATGTCCAGAGCAAGGAGAAGGCCATCTTCAGGAGTGAAGAAGCCTTTCCAGAAACCCCTTGACCCATTTCTCCTCCCGTCTCATTGGCTGGTATTGGTCACTTGTTCGTTTCTGAACATTTCTGAACCGATCACTGCCAAGGTTGAATCGGAGCGCGCGATCAGTATGGCGTGATCAGAATCTTTTCCGAGCTGGGTTTAGGATTCTTGCTCCCTGCTCATGTGGGAAGGAAAAGTTGTCTACTCCCACCGGGACCTGAAAGAATCAGTTGTATGTTCACTGTTCTAAAACTCTCTCCTGCAGTCCATCAGAATTATATTGGAAATGATGCAGAGAAGAGCCCTTTCTTCTTGTCCGTGACCCTTTCCGACCAAAACCATCAGCGCGTCCCTCAATACCGTGCAATTCTTTGGAGGAAAACAGTAAGTACCTGGCTTGCCCCTGGAGCATCCCCCTTGCTCCAGAGTTTTATTAGTGTCCTTGTCAGAATGGTTCTGGTGAGTCTTTTTCTATGTGGTCCTCTGAGTTTGGATATTCAGGATTATACTCTTGAGCAGTGGGGCCTTCAGACTCTGGGTTCAACCACAAACTCTCCCCGACAAGCCACTAACTGGGCATGTCCCTTCCCCTCCGTCTCTGGCCTGTGGAGCACAGAACTGTATTTTACAGAGCATTTACCTTAGCTGTTACTAAGACTGAAACTGGCCAACCGGTTCACTAAAAGAAACAAAATTTATTGGAAGAATATAATACTGTTACCCGGTACAGCCCATGGGGTGCTCCTGTTTCCATGGGTCATTCAGTCAAGCACTGAGTCACCTGCGCTTCTAGAAGTTTTTTGAGGCTTAGCCCCTTTCATCAGTTTCCTGAGGTAGAAAAATAACTCAAGACTTAACAAGTACTCCCTGCCCAGGGTGGGTTCTGAGTGGATTGAAGGCAAGTCCCTTCAACTCAGGAATGCAGGCCTCTCTTTAGCTCAGGAAAATTCTCTTAGGTTCATTATTGCTGCTTTTTCTTCTCTTTTCTGAATTCTTTTTCTGGGAATTCTTATGGTTGGTCTCTGTCTTTCACCTTTAACTTAAAACAATTAATCATTTTTTTCCCTCGGACTTTTTTTCTTCCTTTGCTTCTCAGAGAATTTTTCATAGGCATCATGGACACTAGAAAGAGCAAAGGATTTGGAGCTAAGCAAACCAGGGTCCAATTACAGCAGTAGCAAATTCATTCATGTCAATTTGAGAAAATTGCTGATGCTCTCCATTTTCTTCTTTGTAAACTGGGGAAAGTTCTGGGCTGTGGCTCAAAGGGTGCTGAGGACTATATTAAGTGAGCTGTTATTTGAAAATCCACATCTACGCGACGTCCCAAATCATCAGATCTTAAATTGCTTAGATACCTGAAGGGTAGAACATTTTACTCTCGAATGGGTGAATACAGTGTATAATTAAGAAGCAACGAGATAACCACACTCAGAAAATGTTAGTCCTGTTATGTGGTGGTCTCACTTTATGGGTGCATTTGTTGAAAGCTATTACTTAATCATTGCACACGGATTTTCACCTCAGCAATACAGTATCTCAGAAATTGCCACGTAGATCTTTTGGGGAAGGAAATAATACAGGAACTTAAAAAAACAGTAATTTTTTGTATACACACGCTTAAAAAAGTAGTGGTTTCTTTACACACACACTCTTTAAAAAACAGTAACTTTTTTACACACACACATACATCAACACATTTGCATGCGTGCGTACACATACAGCAACTTCAAAAAGCCCAGGAAGAATTTCTAGGAACCATTTCAGAGTAAGTTGTAATTAGGAACTTTTTGCGATGATTAAAAATAGTCACAGTTAACAATAAAATCTAACATTTATCGAGCTCTTACTGTATGCCATGTATACTAAATCTTCCCAATGCGTTATCTTAATTGGTGAAATTGTGGTTTAGGGGGGTTAAATGCTATGGCCGAGGTCACATGCCAGAAGGTGGCAAGGCCAGGCAGAACCCAGGACTGCCTGCTGAGCTGGCAGTGCCGTATGTAATCAATTCTCCGTGTAATTCTTTGACTCGTGCTGTCCCTTTCACTGGGCTCTGATCTCCATGAGAGCAGAGGACATATAACTGCTTTGTTCTCACCCAGCCCTGTTTCTGGCACATAGAAGTAGCTCGAGAAGTATTTACTGAACGAATCAACGAATGACACCAAAGTCCAGCCTAACCTGTGTGCTGTGCCGCCTCTGTTTATATAAATGCCCATGTTATGTTTCAGAAGTCTTCTCTTTTTAGGCAGGTTGAAGGTAAAAATCTAATGTAAAGCCGAGTCAGCTCTTACTCCTGAATGATTTCCTGCGGAAAATTTTGGCTCTCCCCTCTCTCCCCGTGCTGCTGAAACTGGGCTCGGTCTCACCATCATCATAGCTGTACTGAAGCAGAGTTTATGCACCGGTGTTGGCAGATAACGTTGAGGGGCACCTGGGTGGCTCAGTCAGTTGAGTGTCCAACTCTTGATTTTGGCTCGGGTCATGATTTTACAGCCGTGGGATTAAGCCCCCATCCGCCCTGGGCATGGAGCCTGCTTGGGATTCTCTCTCTCCCTCTCTCTGCCCCTCCCTCACTCGTGTTCTCTCTTGCTCTGAAAAATAAATAAATAGACATTTAACATAAATAAATAAATATTCTCTTTGGATGACTCTGCCTCTTTTGGAGAAATAGTCTCTCTGATTTCCTCTCCCCCTGCTCCTCTTGAAGTTGATATCTGGGTGCCCGGGGAGAGGGTTTAGGAGACCTCACAGTGGCGGGAGAAGAGGACTGTGGGTTCACGTGGGGCTTTCTGTGTTCTCTTGTCGAGTGGCTGATCCGGTCTCTGAACTAGCAACCGCATATGTAACTGGTCCCCTCTGGGCTTTTTGGTGTCACTGGAGCGCACCTGTCACCGGAATCCGTGGTCCTAGTCATTTGCCCCTTGCGGTGATGGCGCCGCACACTGTGAGCTCCGTGACCTGATCCCAGGTCTCTGCTAGCCGCTGAGCCTCTCAGGTCTGTCCCTGTCACCGGCACCTCCCCTGCTAGCCACAGGGCAGGTGGGCTGAGGCAGGAGCACCGCTCCAGGCTTATGTTTCTAATCTTGCTGACCCTCCATGCTTGAAGCTGCTGAGTCACTGCCCCTGATCGTGTTCAAACAGGTTCTACGCAGACTTCGATTCCTAAGGGAGGCTGTGCCTGGGAAGTGAACCTCCAGTCCACATGTTCTGAGGTGTCTCCAGGGCTCACCTTGATCTATTTGCAGCGTCCTGCACCCTCTTCGAGGCCTGCCCTCGGAATGGCGGAACCAAGGGCCCCGGCACCTAACACCTTGGCTTTTCCTATCTTCCTTCTTCCTTCCTTCCACCAACACAAGAAAGGAGAGTTTTGCCCTTTGGCCGCCTTTCTGGAATGGATTCTCTTAGTGTCTTGCCTTCTTTCTTCAGGTAGTAGGAGCCACTCCATCTCCTCACCGGGGAAGGTTGCCAGGTACTGGGAGGGAGGAGCAGGTACAGGGGGGAGTTTTGCTTATTCTAATGACTGAAGATGTCGTCTCTACTGCATTGTAAATTGTGACAAACGCTCTGAAGGAAACAAAGGCAGAATGATACGGGAGACCAACTTTAGATCAGACAGCCAAGGGAAACCTTTCCGAGGAGGTGACATTTAAAGAGACCTACGGGAGGGAAGGGAACGAGCTACATAAATGGTAGGGGGAAGGGGCAGGCGGGGAGCATTCCAGAAAGAGAGAACAACAAAGACAAGACAAAGGAGGAGCTCTGGGGACTCGTCTGGGCAGAAGGCAAGGAGGAGGGAGTCGGACCCCAAGACCCCCGTGAAGGCAGTGGGGCTGGCCTAATGAGTTACCCCCCTCTACTGAGAAGTGCCAGTGCCTTGTCCAGAGCCTCTAGTCTGGACCCTGGGTTGTTGCCAGGGCAGGGCAAGTGCTTGCTAGCAGCTCCGAGTGGCGGTGCTGAAGGAAAGTGAGGGACTGAGAAACCAGAGCAGAGCCTGGCAAAACGGGTCAGTTGTAAAGCCCCTCTGAGCCCCAAACTAGTGCCGGAGGCTGCAGGAGATGCGCAGAAGCACGTGCCTCTGCACCCCCTCTCCCCTTCCACGAGCCCACATTTTGTTCTCAAACAGAGCTGAGACCGTCCTGTTATCTCTGCTGTATTTCTTCTAAACACAAAGAAAAGACTTAAAAAAACAACTCATACTTACCGTACAGATTTCCTCTGTACGAGACAATGCAGCTAGTAAAAAGAAGAGACTCAAAGTCCACTTACTCAGGGATGACCACCGCAACACCCTTCTAGACACCTGTTCACACACACCTGCCACCCACAGGGGGTGACGTCCGACGCGCACTTCCGTATCCTTGCAGCGATCGGTTGGTGTTGCCTGTACGTGTACTCGACGCTGACTTTGTGTCTGTTGGTCCCACCGGAACACAGAGAACCAGAAGGTGTTTTTTGTTGGAAACCACTGTGGAAAGCTACAACAGGGAGAAGATGAGGGAGGAAGAGCTTTTACCAGTTTGTGGTGAAGAAAAATACAAATCCACCATCCCATGAGTCCGGGGTTCCGCATCCACGTAGGCAGCTTATGCAGGTGCTACAGTCAGCCAGGCAGGGGCTGGATCCTCTCCTCTTCCATACGTTCCCCCCTCAGGCTGCCCTGGACTTCTCTTTAAAACTGCGTTTTGGCGTGTTCGGTGAGAAGGAAAAGTAGCTAAGGTAGGGGAGGAGTAAGAAGGTGAGACTCAAGACCCTCTTGTAGAAGGGTTGGCATCCTGTACAGGTGACCGCAGTGTGAGGTAGGCCGGGGCTGGCCACAAAAGCAAGGCCACCAAAATAACTCAGATTTCAGTGGGTGGGTTATGTGGAATTTGAAAATGCCTATTCCCATCATAATACTCGTCTGTATCCGAAATCTTCTAAAATCTCTGTAACATAAACTGCATTGCTCGATTGAGAACCCATAAGAAGGGCTTTGCCTCATGCAACTTCTGATGGTTAGCTGGAAAGACACACTCCTCCCCAGCCCTGGTTCTCTGGGGGCATGGGTGTGAATGTTGAGTTCACTGGAAAAGGTCACGGGCTCGACAAGGTTGAGGAAGTCCATCCCGACGCCAGTGTCCAGGGCTTGGACTGATGAGTTTGGCAGGTACGTCTCAAAACACAAGGAAAATCCTATTTCCTTCCTTGCCTGTTTCCTACAAGAAATGCTCTTACCCTTTGTGCTGCCAATTTTATTAGTCAAAGTTAGAAAGAAAGTTTTATGTGTGTACTACATCGTATTCCCTTTTGCCAAATGTGTAGTGTAAATCCTTTGTGGATTACAAATCTGTATCGTATCTTTTTTGAAAATTATTATTTTTAAAAAATATTTATGGGCACCTGGGTGGTTCAGTCGATTTAAGTATCTGACTCTTGATTTCACCTCAGGTCATTATCTCGTAGTTCCATGGTTTTGGGGCCTGCACTGGGCTCTGTGCTGACAGTGTGGAGCCTGTTTGCAATTCTGTCTCCCTGTCTCTCTGCCTCTCCTCTGTGCACTCGCGCGCGCTCTCTCTCTCTCTCTCTCTCAAAAATAAATAAACTTTTTTTTGTTCTTTAAAATAACAAATAAACAAAATGTTTATCTTTGAGAGAGTGCAAGCAGGGGAGGGGCAGAGAGACGGGAGGACAGAGGATCCAAAGCGGGTTCAGTGCTGATAGCAGTGAACCTGATGTGGGGTTCAAACTCATGAACCATGAGATCATGACCTGAGCTGAAGTCAGATGCTCAACCACCTGAGACACTCAGGCACCACTCTTTTTTGGGAAATTATAAAGCAAGTGGCCTTCATCTATTCTGGATGGTTTGGATGTGGGACTGAACCATTCACGCAACCTTTCATTCATTCGCTTTCACGCAAAAAATATTTATTGAGTGCATTC